GATTGATTGATTGATTGATTGATTGATTGATTGATTGATTGATTGATTGATTGATTGATTGATTGATTGATTGATTGATTGATTGATTGATTGATTGATTGATTGATTGATTGATTGATTGATTGATTGATTGATTGATTGATTGATTGATTGATTGATTGATTGATTGATTGATTGATTGATTGATTGATTGATTGATTGATTGATTGATTGATTGATTGATTGATTGATTGATTGATTGATTGATTGATTGATTGATTGATTGATTGATTGATTGATTGATTGATTGATTGATTGATTGATTGATTGATTGATTGATTGATTGATTGATTGATTGATTGATTGATTGATTGATTGATTGATTGATTGATTGATTGATTGATTGATTGATTGATTGATTGATTGATTGATTGATTGATTGATTGATTGATTGATTGATTGATTGATTGATTGATTGATTGATTGATTGATTGATTGATTGATTGATTGATTGATTGATTGATTGATTGATTGATTGATTGATTGATTGATTGATTGATTGATTGATTGATTGATTGATTGATTGATTGATTGATTGATTGATTGATTGATTGATTGATTGATTGATTGATTGATTGATTGATTGATTGATTGATTGATTGATTGATTGATTGATTGATTGATTGATTGATTGATTGATTGATTGATTGATTGATTGATTGATTGATTGATTGATTGATTGATTGATTGATTGATTGATTGATTGATTGATTGATTGATTGATTGATTGATTGATTGATTGATTGATTTGATGTAATTTGATTTGATTACACTACTGGACTGCTGTTAACCGTTTAACCAAGCTTCTGGGCCCTGAAGAACATGCCACATGTGTGGGCTTTTGAGGACAGATCAGGAGAAACCTGGGCTCTGAGGTGTTGAGTCCTCTCTAGATACAGCAAGAAGCAATCGTTGATGACAGCTGAGCTGTGAACGAGGGGGTTGTAAATCGATCGGGTTGTGGTCACGGCTAACTGCAAGCACAATCCCGTAACACTCAGTCTGATTTAACAAAAAAAGCAGGCATTGTGGTCAATCTGGCAGCCAACAGCAGTGAAAAGTGAATTTTAAACCATTTAGCCGTAAACAACCTTAAACGTACGATGTTGAATACATTCCAGTGAAGAAAAGTAAGCATGACGCTGTTTTTAACCCTGACGTTTCTCTCTCTCTTCATATCATCTGTACCGAGATCGAGCACTTTCAAAGTTTGCCAAATCCCTTTGCATTTCGTGTCATTTGTGTACTATGGAAACGACTGACTCTGCAAACTCTTTGCCAAACGGTGATCATCTTTTCGTAAAGGAAACTACTCACAGGGTTGCTGAAAACCCTTCGACAGCTCACGACCGGTTTCGCCCTTCTTGGGGCTCATCAGGTAGGCGCAGTTCCCGAGTTTCCGTCGACCCCGTGTTCCAAATGAACTCAAAATGGACTGTTTTCAAGAAATACACTCATTTGCAAATCAGTTTGGTTTCCAACAACCTTGTGAGGTTCCTTTATGAAAATATCGTTCCAGACGAATTATGAGGCGGCCTGCGTGCAGCATATTCAGTTGCAGGTTCAGTTGAGTCTCTCGTGAAAACCAAATTGATTTTCAAATGATTGTACTTCTATAAAACAGTCATTTGGGGTTCAAGTCGAACATAACTTTGAGGGCAGTGTTTTAGCACACAGTACTTGTCAGAGCCTTTGTTCGTTTCGCGTCCGTTCAGCAGTCCACCAGACTTGACGCAGGCTTTGGAGAGCATTTTACAGAAAAGTTCTGTCCAAATCTAACACCGTCTGGATCACTCAAACCATTCTTGCGGAGTTGCAAATCTTCTAGTCACCTCAAAACGAGGTTTCTTAGCAAATTCATTTTAACCTAGCTCCTTTAAATAGCATATAGGATTTTAAGATTCACGATACCACAATTTCAGGCGAATCCGGTCTTGAAAATTAGATAACTACGTAGGTTCACACGTTTTGTTTTGCGTGATAACACTCAAATCGCAATGTGTCACATGATTCATCAGGGAAAAAGCAACGTACCGGTAAGTTCTCGGTTTTCCGATTGCACTCATTTATTGACATGGGGATGTGATATTGTTCCAAGGTGACTGCGGGCCCGTTGGTAGTTAGGCCGAACCTCGACAAGGTCTAGTTGACAACGGTATATCATCATCATCATCGTCGCGTCGTCACCGATAGTATGACATTTGTGTGGTCGTCTTCACGTCGTCACCGATAGTATGACATTTGTGTGCATAATACTCCGCTACAGTCCAGTTAGAATACTGCCAGGATGCCCTAACCTACTGGACAGGAGGACAATCGAGGGTTCTCAACCAAAGACTCAACAGCCTGACCGCAAGGCAACGAAGCTTGGAAAGTCGCCACACATTTTCCAGCCTCTAACCTGCGGGTCTAAGAGACATTGTTGGTCAGAACTAACTAAACTGGTTTGAGAGCCCGGGTTACACGAACACCATCCAGTCTAACTCAGTGGGTCATGCAGACACACAAATAGTCACCGTACAGTCCAGACCGGCTTTTTTTGTGTTTGTTTGGAACTTGGCCAGTTCGCCAAGCACTATTTTGTACTGTTGTCCAGTACTGATCTTTCCAACAGACTTTTCGAAGGGAGAACAATGCTTCGTAGAATTATGTTCCCAGTCATTACACAGCTAAGGGGTCATTTCTGGTCTCCAAGATTGCGGGCCGCTCTGTTTGATAATGTCAACTCTGCTGGTCTGCATCTGGTCAGTGCAAGTGGTCACATTGTGAGAAGCCGGAACCGCAAATCAGCTGTTCACTCTACCAAAGATTTCTAGAAAGGACACTTCCTGAAAAAAAAAACAACTCAGTGTGAGCTACGTAATCAGAAGAGATCAAAACGACAACTGGTTCAATACTCGAATGCCTGTTGGAGTGGTCGACGGACATTGAACATGGTCACATCACACAATAGGTGAGACATCCTCGGGATGTTTCCCCTGCGCCAAAATGAACATAGTCTCCGGGCGGTTGAACGAGTTGGGCTGTAGTGCGATAGCTTTCGCCGGGTGACTTGCGGCTGTAATGCAGTTTAAACAAAGAGCCGTCCGATATTATGGAATTGCCCTGTCAAATCGTCTGAACATTTTTCAAAATATACTCTTCGTCACTTTTCAAACAGTTTTTGAAAAAAAAAACAATCGATTCAAGGACGAAGTTGGAACGTCTAACCAAGGATGTTGTGTAGTCTTATTGTCTGAGGGAAGACCACATCAAGGCGGGATCTGTCATCTTCCATTCTTCACTACCAGAGCAGTTCCTGAGCTTGACGTATGTCGAAGGAGTTGTCTCATGTAAGTTAGAATCCACACAGAACCGATCCATTGGCTAACTACCTATGCCCTCCAACCCTGAATGCCTCGCCCTCCGTTTGTATTTATCGGCTAAGATCTGTCTTGCAGCCCCCTGTGGTTACGGATACCCTGATCTATTCAACACTTCCATTCCAGAGAGTTCAAGGACTAACAAAATTTGACATCGATCGCACTCATTCTTACCAGGTGACCCCACTTTCGGTGTCGGTGGAATGTGAAAAACCAAATCGTCAGAATGGCACAATCATCTCGAATAAAGAAGAACGCCTCGATCGGTGGGCCTGGTTGGAGACACTACAAGATGTGGCTGCCAACCGATGTCAGTGGCGTTCTTGTTGTCAGTTTCTATCCAGATCGCCTGAGTGAATGTCTGGAGGTGTAGGCACCTCGAAATGATTGTGGTAAGCTAGCACTAAGTCATTCCCCCATCCACCTTTACCCTTTTCTTTGCGATAAGACTTTCAACTAAATCATGTTTGTACGGCAGTGGAGCATCAGTGTTGAAGACTGATGTCATACTGTCTATGATGAATAGTTTGAATAGATTTTTACCAACTTGCATACAGTGAGTAGACAAATCCGTGTTTGGTTTGCTCATCAAAATGCAGAGCGTAAGTCCAGATGGTGGTCAGAATGAAAATATTTTATTTCTATTAATATACTTTTGCGATAACCCAATCCACCACTGTGTAGTTGTCATGAGACGGACTTTTTTGAATGCTGGATCAATCAGTTGGTTATATTCTCGTGTGATTTGTTTGACCAATTGCTTAGCTTGTTGTTTACCGGAGTATTTCACTCTTTTCTCATATTCGCAGTCACGAGAAACGCAACCTGACAGTTTCTGTTACTATTCTTTTGCCACATGTGGGATGTCGATAGCCATTGTGCCTGCTGGCAAAGAGGTGGTTGGTTATCAGCAGAGGTTCTTTCTCTTTCTCTGAGACCCTGTGCATTTTGTCACCCTGGTTCTCTGGTTTGCTGTGAACCTAACCCTATTGCGTATTTATGTATACACCGCTGATTAGACTATATCAGTAGTACAGAGCGTGGAACAAATGTGGGACCAACACCTAAGCCTTAGCCCTATTGCGTAGTTATGTATGGCCATGCATACACCGTTAATTAGA